ACGAGACAATACCAGGGGGTGTAACTTCTCTTGATGGAGGACTTGGGAAAAAAATATTGTTCGATTTTCTTTTTTCTTTTTTTTTCTTATTCTTCTTCCTCTTATTCCTTTTTTTTTCATTTTCTTCTCCTTTTTTCTTTTTCTATTCTTCCCTTATTTTTCTTTTCTCTTTCTTTTTTTCTTTTTCTTTCTTTCCATTTTTTTTCATTTTCTTTTTCTGTCTTTCCCTTTTTTTCCTTTTTCTTTTCCTTCCTCTTTTTTTTTTCATCTTTCCCTTTCCTCTTCTTTTTTCTCTTTTTTCCTCTTTCACCCTCTTCTTTTTTTCTTTCTTTCTCCCGTTATTAGTGTTTTTCTTTCTTTTTTCTTAAAAAAAAAACGTTTTGTATACAGGTGTTTGAAATCGACCAAAGATATAGCTAAATTGATAATGATAGTGATGATCGTAATGATTGTGATATTACTCAGATTATTAATGATAACCGTAATTATCATGACATTTAAAAAGGAAAAAGTGGTAATCGTGTCCGAAGCCAAATCCGGGACTCACGGATCCGAACGCATTGTGAAATCAAGATGGAAGTCCCTGGCGGCGCTGAGGTGTTCGGTCATGATTGGACTCGGACTTAGGTTTAAGTTTGTACAAGTTTTTTTTTGTGTGTGTGTGCGTGCGTGTGTGTGTGTGAAGCTTAATTAAGTTGGATCCGTCGTCACACGTTACAAAAAGAAAAAATTATAAATTATATTTAATGTAACATTAAAAACACCATTATTATGTTTTAGTATTGTTGGTATTATCTTTGGTGTTAATATCAATGTCATTATTTTGATTATCATATTATCATTACTTTCATTATCACCATCATTATGATGTCATGCCCATCCGAATTTCGAAAATGTACTTAATGAAAAGTTGATAAAGGAGTGGGGTTACATCTGTGATGTAAGGCTAACCCTTCCTTTTTCTTCTTCTTCTTCTCCTCTTCCTTTTCTTTCTTCTTCTTCTTCCTCCTTCCTCTTCTTCTTCTTCTTTCTTCGTCTTCTTCTTCTTCTCTTCTTCTTTCTTCTCCTTCTTCCTTCTTTCTTCTTCTTCTTCTTCCTACCCCTCCTTCCCTCCCCCACACCCCTCTATCACCTTCTCACCTCCACGCCCTCTCCCCCTCCTCTCTTCCTCCTCCTCCTCCTCCTCTTCCTCTTCCTCTCCTCCTCCTCTTCTCTTCCTCCTCTCCAAATCCCAAGTTAGAAAACAATTACAACTAAAAAACAAAACAATTCCCTCTTCCTTCTTTCTTTTTCCTCTCCTCCTTGTCCTCTTTTCTTCTCCTTCCTCTCTCTTCCTCCTCCTCGTCCTCCTTTTCTTCTTCTTCCCCCTCCTCC